TTAAAATTGACTCATAACTTGATTTGAACTTGATTCAATTTGAATAAATTCAAGTCAAAATCGAATTGAGTTAAAATCGAGTTGAGTCAAATTGAATCGAGTTTAAAATTTATATAACTCAAATTAAATCAAATTGAAAGATTTTATAAAATAAATTTGATTCGACTCGACTTAAAAAAATGAATTGAATAGAGTTGGTCTTTAAACTCAACTCAACTCAACTCATTTGAAACTCTACAAATGCTGCTTTGCTAAATAAATTTTTAATAATGATAATAATACTATAAATAATAAATTTAATTTATATTTTATATATTATTATAATTTCTAGGATATGCAATAACTTTTAAATCAGTGCAAATATTAGATCTAACAAATACAGTTTTTGATTTCTTCAAGACCTTATCAATCAATTCAATGTCATACTTTTTATATAATAAAATTAATAAAGTTTTCAATTCTACTATAGTCACATTTCTTTCTGAGCAAATTTTTATTTCATTTCTAAAAGGAATAAAATTATACTTAGCGATTTCATAATCAGATCCTTTTAAAAATCTTTTTAAAATAAATTGATCAGGATTTTTCCAACAATCAGATGATCTATGAATTTATTCATAATAAATAAAAAAAGATGTATTAGAATCTAAATCTTTCTTCTAATATTAATATTCATTATAGATTTACATGTTATAAATGGTATAAGTAGAATAACTCATTGAGATTCTTTAATAATAATATCAAGGTATGTTAATTTTTCTAAATCTTTATAGATCATTTGTCATGTCATATCATTTTCTAGGATTTCTTTTATTTTTTTTTGAAAATATGCAATAATATTAGAATGATAAGCTAATTGTCAAACTATGAAATAAAATGTATTTTCAGTCTAATAATAAAAGGATTAGGTAAAAAATTATTTACAGAAGATTTTACCTAAAGATGATAATATATCAATTTAACTTACTATATCTATATCAGCAATGCTGACTTCTAAAATGGCAGCATAAACTTTTAAATTACTCATTAGTGTTTTACTTTTATTATATTCGTCCAGATCATATAATGTATTTATCATCAATAGGACATCTATAAAATCTGAGCCTATCTTATTATTATTCTTAATTTTCATTCTTTTTTTTATGACAATATCAGAAATGGTCTTATTTAATCAATTAATATTCTTTGTGTACTTCTTATTCAAAATATAGAATCCTAAAAAGTAATGTTTAAACATATTAAGAATAAATCATTTAAATATCAAACCTTTAAAAATTTGAACTATTTAACTGAATTTAACAGATTTTTTAGTCTTCTCAAATTTGATGAGATCATGATCTTTATCAAATAAGTATGTATTAATATAATATAAAGGTCTACATATGATAGTTTGTAAGGTGATATCGATTGTAATTATTTTATTATTTTACATTTATCTTGAGTAATGAACCTAATTTGTATCAAATATTAACTGAAGCCTTAAGTTTTCCTCATTGTGATATTTGAGTACTATTTATAATAATAGTAGCAAACAAGTACTAATTTTATAAATTATAATAAATTCATTAATTCTTTTATTTTTAGTAAAATCAATTACAAAAAAAAATAATTTATTAAAAAACATATAATTTCATAGTAAAAACTTATAATTTTCAATGTAATAAAATATATTTTTTTTTATTATTTATATATTTTTAATCTTATATATCATTTTTATAAAAAAAATGCTAAAAAAAATTCATTATAAAATATAAGAAAATGTGATACGAAATTTAAAAAATGTATATAAAACTTATCTATAATAATGAAAAAAGGTATGTAAATTTTTATAAGGTTGAATTTAAAATATAATAACTTAGCATTTAACTAGTTTCTTATTAGTTTTACATTATTTTTTAATCAGTATTCAGAATACTTTCTTATTACTACCATATTGTCAAACAAGATTTTCAAATCATATATCTTAAAAATTAGCCAGAATTATGTTATAGCATTGGTCAAATTTAAACATAGATTTATTATGATTTATGCATTAACTAATATGATTTTTTTATAATAAGAAGTAAAATAAAAGTATCAATATATGCATAATTTTTTAGCAATAAAAAGGATACAAAATAAACTAATAATTAAGAATACTATAATATATTAATTAATATACTGTATTCTAGGATATTATAATTTATTAACTATTATATATTCAATTAAATTATAATATACTATCATACTAAAAAATTACAAAAAGCCTATAGAACTGCAAAAATATAATACATTATAATCTAATTGGATACATGTTACCATAAAATCTTGAAATTAAGCACCTTCTGAAAATAAGCACCCCTGTTACTTTTGCCATAGTGTTTGTAAAAACTAAAAGTAAGCACCTTCGAAAATAAGCATCCCATTTATAAAATAATAATTAATACGGATTTTATAAAATTAAATAATAAAACAAATTTATTTATAATGAATTTATAGCATGATTATTCTTTATTT